GCGAACAGTGAGTTGTGTGGGCGCCCAGTCGCCATAGCCAGTTGAAGAGAACTCATATCTGGTTACGATATCTTGAGTATTGTGTGGGCGCATGTCGCCAGTTGCTGTTTCGCTGTTTGCATACATGACAAGTTGAATAATCAGAAGTGTGATTTCACAAAATGGCATTACCCTTTATTTAGGTGTGAGAACAGGACCACCTTCCTGGTCACAATTTCTGCAAAAGTCACAGTCAGTTTTTCATCACCTCCCTAGTGGTGTCAATTTCAGATGACAATGTGCTTTGAAGAGGTCAACAAATCAGTCTTGCATAGTAGACAGCAATACTCAAATTATTGTCATGGCATTACAGTGACTGAAAAAATCATCATCGCCATTATCATGAACTGATTGAGATCACCTGTTCAAAACGTATGTTACCTTCCATCCTTGTCCAGTGTTGCATTCTTGCCCTTGCAGCAAGCCCCATGGATATCAACAACTCCAGATAGGCAGCACATCCCTTCATGGTCCATCCTGTTCCAGCATGCCAATTAGAAATCCCACCACAGAAGATAAAGATATTTGTCATTCTGAAGTCCCTAAAAGTGCACATTTGAGGAAACGGTCATCATTGAGCTCTTGGAAAAATGGGCATTACCCCTCAGCATACAATCCCTGCTAATCACATGTACGAAGGAGACTTAGCTGGCAGAGAGTGAGGACCTGACAAAGAATTGCACAATAGGGGAGAGAAGGAGCAGGTAGGGAGGGGGACGGAAGGCCTGGGCATTGAGACCCAGAACCAGCTGGCAGAGAACACCATGGTGGAGATGATCAGAAGGACGAAAATAGTGGAAAATCGGGATGATACAAAGGAGGATGTAGGTGTCTGGGGACATCCCGAGGACTGACTGCCTCAACTGGATGAACTCTATGTGAAACATAGTGCTCTTTTTTTCACAAAAAAGTCAGGATCTACTAGGGATGATAAGCTGTGATAGCTCTGGGAGACACTGAAGAGCATCAAACCGATTCCTGGCACAGAGCCCAACGTCTCTTTCAACGTCTGATGTAGGAACACCATCAGGACGTGTCATACACCGAAATCCTAAAGAACAAGTCATTCACTTGCAACACGTCAGTCCTCACGGTCTATCCACGTAGACCTGACAGAATGGCACAGAACTCACTGTCCCAGTACAGACAGACCTTGATGAAAAAGAGCTCCTGGATACCCATCATAGAGCAGAGTCAGGACAACAAAGACCCCTGAAGAAAGAAGAAAAAAGGAAGGCATGCATGGCATTCGTGATAATGTTTAGCTGCCGTAATCAAAGGGTGAGGGGACAGTGAAACAGACTCCAACAATGTGTATCCTCCTCTGGCCCAGAGACATACCTCCCTTCACAATGTGGAGGAACTTCACAGAGCTCTCCTTTCCAGCCATCACTGCAGTGGCAACTGTCATTTCTGCATTCACCATGGCCTGAGCAAGTGTTGCTTTCGCAGAAGCTGCAATTGAAACCCCTGGAATTCACATAAACCCAAAAGTTCAGGGTGCATTCAGAATGGAGTCTGTTATCAGGCAGACCTTAGCAGTTTATCCACTGAGCCTGTCGTCACGTTAGAGAACAATCCAGCTATATCCCAAAGCACTGGGGCAGACCCCCTCCATCTCCACCCTCCCCTCTCTCCTCCCACACTCACACACCACCCACCCACCACCCACCCACCTAAACATGGAAACAAGACAAGATGGCATGTTGTAGACCCAGACCGATTCCCATTAACAATTCTGGGTGCGATCACGTGTTGTACCTCGAGAACTCGTACCATATCTTCTTGAGGAAATGTTGTACGGTTATAAAATATGCAATAGCCCGCTCAATATGCCCTGAGGTGGCCTGCGGGCCGCACACAGGCCGCGACCCCGGTCTGAGGCTGCAGGGGCCAAGGGGGAGGAAAACCCCAAGTAGGCTCAGGGCCTGAGCGCCCGACAGTTGACCACGGTCAACTGCCCAGCCGCCCAAGAGTCAAAGTCTGATGCACCCATCCCAGGCCGCCGGTCGGACACACACACTTGTTTGTATGCAGGTACCAAGACAGCATCAGGACCTAGTGGAAGTCTGCAACTGTTACATGCTGCGCCTGCACACAGGCCCCATTTGAGGGGCCTGGCGGTTGCTGAGGGGCTCCCAGGCCGCATGCCCATCAGACATGTGCCCTGGAAGCCCACGGCGGCCCCCAGGCCGCAGATTTCAAATATAGGCGGCATTTATTTATTTATTTACTTACCTGCTGTCCTATTTCGGTCTGTGCAGACGTCGTTTCCGACTTGCAGTCCCCAAGGCACGCGCTTGGGACTGGGTACACCAGAGGCAGGGCCTAAAGAGGCCAGGCGTGTTTTTGCGCCTTGCTGCATCAGCAGCACAGTCTGGACGTCCGGTAGGGACCCGTTTTGAGGCCAGCACCAGGTAGGCCCAGCCTCGCCCAGCGCTACATATAGCTGGGCAGCGGCTGGGCAGGACACAGTTCGGGTAGCTCACTTCTGGAGCGACATGCTGCTGGTTGGAGGCTGCTCTATTCTGGCGCAGAGCTGCAAAGTAGGGAGTAGAGGTGCAGGAGGTAGGGAGAGAGGCGGAGGCCTACCTGTAGCGGCAAACTTACCTGGCGCCATAGCTGGGGCTCCGCGCGGTACCTGCACAGGGCGACCACAGCAGTCAGTTCAGTGGCAGCTAGCTACAGGTGAGACAGCGAGGAGGACGACCCCTTCTTCTTCCTCTTTGTCCTCCCTCTCGTCTCTCTCTCTCTCTCTCCTCTTCTTTCCTCCTTCCTCCTTCATCTTCTTCTTCTTCAGATACGAGAGTGAGAGAGGTTACAGGTAGAGGATACAGGCAGAGGGTACAGTGGGCATTGTGCCCAGGATCTGATTCGACATTTCTGAGGCAGATGTTGCTTGTGCAATGAACCCAAGTCGTGGATACAATGTCGACACTGAAAGCCAAGATTATCGAACCAATGATAGATCTTCAGTATCCAGTAAGAAAGTGGGGGGTGAGATAATCATACACGGACGAAGAGAGAAGGGGGAGATTAGACAAGAGAGAGGGATAAGGCCCACTCCTTCTCCGGGCTCCTCCTACGACAGCAACCCCACATCAGTAATGATCTGAATACAAATTAGAGACTCAGCCTCCGGGTGCCACGTGGCACCGATCAATACATTAATTAGCGCTGGAGCCTTGTCGTCATGAAGACATCAGGTACGTATTCACAACACCTCACAAGTCCTGATCTCATCCCGAATAGTCACGACCCCTCCTTGAAGTAACGAAGCCGATGATCAATAGCCGGTCGTAAGGATCCGACAGTACGACACGTGGCAACGCCACGTCAGCAGCAATATGTGGCGACTGCCACGTCAGCAGATCAGAGACAGTCGCCAGCCAGATAGCAAGCCAGCCAGCGGTAACTCACCATGTCAGCAAATGCCGGCCTTCCTCCAGTCTCGCAGCGTCAAACCAAGGCTGCGAGAGTCAGGCGCTGAAAACAGCGTCAACGTAAGACAGCCAGAATTACCAAAGTCAAGGAGCCAATGCTCTTATAGTGTTGACTCGGGGTCTGATCCCCGGTAGTATCCAACCTCAGCCGTCCAGATCTTCCTGCCTGGAGGGTCTGGATAGATCTGACCTTTGATTTTCCGAAGTCTTGGCGTTCGGTCCCACAGCCGTACGCAGTTTACTCAGGCCGGGGCATGTGTTGGTTACACAGCCCGGCGCAGTCTTCCACAGACTGCGTGGCCTGGGGCTAAGGTTTGGGCCCCAGGTCGACTACTGAACAGGGTTATTACATTCCTGCCGTCCCGCTTTCGAGTTCCACCGCAGAAATAATTATAATCTTAACCCTCGTTCATAGGCAGCGACAATATCTGGTGCGGTTTCAAGCAGTTCTTTTTTACTAAACCATGGATCCTCTGATGGTTGTTGGAATTTGAAACGTACTTTGAACTGCTTTTGTGGTCTGCCCCGTGCTCCTGTAGAGAAAAACCCATGTTCTATGATCCTATCAATCTCATATTGTCCGTCCATGGATGGGGGATTCATAGATGGTCTGTTTGGAAAATCATCTCCTTCTACATAGGGCAACAGCTTAGACGCATGAAAAACAGAATAAGTTATGAGATGAGAAGGGATGTCAATTCGATACGAAGGTCCCTCTTCATCTCCTATTACTTTGAGAACTTCCCAGGGTCCAAAGTAGACGGGTAGCAGTTTTTGAGATACGTTTTCTTCGAGTGAAAATTCCTTTGACTTAACCCAAACAAAATCTCCTACTTTAAAGGTAGCAGGCCGTCGATGCTTATTGGCCTGAATAATCATTTGTTCTTGGGCTCTCTTTAGATTTTCTTTCACCTTCTTGATATCTTCTTGAAACAAAACTGCATACTCTCTTGTCCCTGGTGGTAACCTCAGAAATTGGTCCCRGGTTAGTTCATCAATGGGACATCTGGGTTTCCAACCCTTGTGCAGTGCATTAGAACTTCGTTCGGTAGCGGTATGTACACTACTGTTATATGCACTGACAATCTTGGGTAAGTTCTCATCCCAATCAACTTGATCGGGTCTTACATACATTCGCAAGAGTTGTTGGCACAAACGGTTCATCTGTTCGCTTTGTCCATTCGTTTCAGGGTGTCGCCCTGACGTCATGGTCAATCGCGTACCGTATGCTTCCATCAGCTTTTGCCATGGCATACTTGTGAATCGAGAATCTCTGTCATATACGATAGTCAAGGGAAATCCATACTCGGTTACCCATCGCATCTGAAACTTCTGAATCACAAGTACAGTTTTAGCTTCAACAGGTAAGGGAATAAACATAGCATACTTAGAGAAACGATCTACAATAACCATAACTTGACTATTTCCATTGCGACTTTTGGTGAGAGTCATAAAATCCATTGAAATCGACTCACCTGGTTCACTAGGGATCGGCAATGGTCTAAGTAGTCCAAGCGGGTTCTCATGTGAAGGTTTGTTTCTCTGGCATACTAGACAAGTGCGGACGTACGTAAGTACATCTTCTTTTAAACCCTTCCAGTCA